TTTATACAAAACAACTGTATTGCATTCAAGCCTTCATTTTGCTAAACTGAGCAAGACATGAGCTTCCAAATGCTGTAGGTATAGCCTCTTCCATCTGCCTGGTCAGTTTAATAGCACTTTTCTGCGCCAGATCAGCTTTCATTAGTCTTTCTTGATTAGGGGTGATGTAAATGATACAGAGCATCATGCCTAACACTGCTGGAAATACTTCACTGAATGTGTGATAAGATTTTGTTTTTTTCACTGCACAAATCTTTCCCATTAGATTTCATCTAGCAAGCTCTGAATTTCTGACAGATGTATGTTATTGGTCCCTAAATAATTTTGGACATTGCCCTTAAGTTTCTTTTTTCTTTCTTTCTTTCTTTCTTCTTTTTTTTTTTTTAAAGTCCGCTCATCAATTTCATTCTTTAGGTCCTGTAGTCTTCCAGCTCTGTATCATCTACAGGTTGTAGTAGCACATGCCTACTTTGTTGTGCCAACTTAATTGATGAAAATTCTACTTGAGTTCCACATCCCAGTTATATCCTTCCCCTTACTTTTTCTTCAATAACTACTTAGCTCCTCAGTAGCCACTTCCTTACCTGCAATGTAATTCCTGTAGTATTAGTGCTTAACTAATCCAGTCCAGTGTAACATGTACATTTCCAATTGTTACAGATATGTGGTACGGAATTCTGTATTTCATGAGTCAGCTGGTTTTGATTTCTGAGAAGAGTATCTGGTCTGACCAATTTGAGCCCAAGAAGACCTTTGATTTTTACGTCCATCTCATTTTTAGCTTTTATCCCACCTGCCATCTTGCCCTTGCTCCTGTATTTATCATAATCTAGGACACTTCAAACATTCATTTACTATTAACACCGTACTTCAGTTATCTAAATTACCTCTCTGCTTAGCAATCACATTTTTTCTTAGTTCTCCCGTTACTTAATTGTTTTACAATTTATTCTCGTTTCCTTTATGAGATCTAACTCAGCTCGTATTTTGGCAATTGTCAATTGATCCCTCTACTTCTTGACCTGAAAAACATGGCTTTTCCTTCAAATATTGAAATACCTATGAAAAGCTTCTATCGTTGCATTACAAAGAAAACCAAACGAAACCCAAAAACAACTATACGTGCTCCAACTATAGTTCACAAAATCTTCAAACTCAGCCAAATCAAAATCAATTTTTGCTGGGACTCAGTTTAGCATCTCTTTTGCCCAAGGGCTATTTCCCTGCCAAGTTGCTGCTTTTGCTCCCACCCATTTCAACATTCTTCAGACTATTCACAATTCAAGTACATGTGAATCCAATCTGCATTTATATAAATATACAAGGTAGAAAAAGAAGTGCTACCACTGATCAAATTCTAATACAACATGCTTTGAAGAATAAACAGCTCTTTCCTCCAGTTCAGCCCCCTAAAATTCTAAGGAGACTGTTTCAGGTAAGTGTGGAAAGGAAGGAAGTGCTACAGAGACATCTAGACACATCTATCTTCTAGACAAATAGTGGATTTTCTGCTCTGGCTATAATTAACTTAGCCAATATTCTTAAAGACCATTATGCAACCAAAGGATCAACTGTTATCCCCAGAGTTGAGAAATCACTATAGTAGACTTGCAGCATTCATGTGGCTTAGAGGTTTCCACAAGTAAAGTTGTATTTTTTTTAGAATAGTTATATAAACAGTAAATCCCCTTTGAACATGAGAGATTCTGTACGCAGTTCTGTATAATGTTACTATCAACATCAGCAATCCCTTCTCTTTGGGGAATTTGGATGTGATATGAAAGTTGTGTTCCATAAAATGAAAACCAAAAGGGTGCCTTATGACAGCAGTTACCACACCTCACTTAGGTAATCCTAAACCATACTAAACAATGTAGTTTCTAGCTTCTCTACTACGAATTTTGCTCTTTAACCCTGAGCATCCAAATAAGAATCTGTTCAGGGTCATTTTCCGTGATACATTCTGCATTCTAATCCATGATTCCTGCAGTGTTTGAACTAAGCAATAGGCAAGTTTGTAGATCAGAACTGCAGTGCAGGAAAACATGTTTGTACTAAAATAAAGCGGTAGGAGGGTGAGCTTCTAGGCTGGGCAGCAAGGGGGGGGGGG